GTGCGGGGCGAGGATTAGGGAGGCGAGGCGCGCCGCTGCCCGTCCGCCGCTTACGCGACCGCTCGCACGTCTCCCCGCGCGGGGCCGCTAGGCCGACGCATCTCACTGCGCGCTTACATTCGCCAGTAGGTTGGGCTAATACGGCGATTTTTAAAATTTCGTATCTCGATAACTATTCGTCCAAGCGCAAAATAGTACAATACTTTTCTGTTTGTCTTAGTCCCCTCTACCTTCCCATGACCGGACGTCAAAGTCTTGCGTAGCACCCTGTATATCGAAAAAAGTATATTTTAAAAATACAGCAAATATTTGTTAACAATGCGAACCAGTTAATTAAAAAATAAATTTAAAAATATCTTTAATTGCTTATCCAGCCGGCAATTTGTTCGAAAAGTCATGCTTGTTTTTTGATTTTTTTCTGATAAGGGCGAAAATCGCAACAATTTGCATGCTCAGTGAATACAACGACTGGATGCTTTTTTACATTTGCTAATACATGTAAAAATCTGAGTACCGTGCTTTTTAATAATCTGATGTATATACGGAAAATTATTTAAAACACACAGAAAACAACATATAGCCATAATTGGCTGCTATCGTATGTGTGTCGTATTTCACAGAGAATTTCTAAAACCCAAATATTTACTCGTTTAAAAGTAGTTTAAATAAAGACACTTTACCACTCAAAACTTGCTTAACTAATAAATGCATAGAACGTCGATTTACATTGCCACCGGTTTTATGATTCTGATAATTAACTTTACTTTAAAAAACTCTCTTTATCTTTTTATGAATTCATTGAAAGAAACGCTTTTCAAAACGATACCATTTTTTACATCAGCTTTATTACAACTAATCCATTTCAACGTAATCCGACCGTTAATCTCCAAAAGCACTCTTCGCTCAGTAACTGCAATTTTCTGGCTCCATCTCCCAGCACGTGGTTGCTGCAACCTTTGAGTTTTTACACGCGAGAGTATTCTTTCTTCTATAGAGAGGAACAAGTTTTTTTTACAAAAGAAACAAAGTTTTTAATTATATTACATTAAAAATATAATAGTTTTGATTCATATTCGTGTCTTGAGTCTATTAAAAATAATCTACTGTTTATAATAATGTCCATAAAGTCAATAATTATTTAATTAATGCGTGTACTACTAAAGTTACGTAAAATTGACAGTCTAACGTAAAGTCTAATTATTAATTTGTTACATAAATTTCGTAGAGAAGTTTACATTATTACGTAGCAATGTAATTTTAGAATAATTATCCCAATTAGAAGCGTTTACCTTTTGTTAAATCCCTTTTAATTATCTCTCTTACTTCATCAAACTTTGGAATAAAGCGTATACGATGTTATTTTGCATTTAATATTATATTCAGTTCTTGGAGTATAATTCGATAATGTGAAAAGCTTGCCTCTAATAATAACTCATAGGCGCAAATTTATCTTCGTCAAGTTCATGGGATTCTCTAAGGAATAAAACTCTGTCGACGCCAAATCAATCTTCGTCACTCATTTGATAGGAAATCAGCGATTACATGCAGTCAATTAATTGCTTTTAAATGGCACCATTGGTAGAAGTTATTTTACGCAAATGTTCAGTGTGAGTATTTTTAATTGTTGTGTGGACTTACTCGGTCTAGATATTCGATCCATTCGTGGAATTATACAGGCCATTAATCTATTTAATTTTACATCAAAAGAATTCTTTGGATCTTCATACTGTGGCATATTTCCATTTTAACCGGTTTATTCTCTTATTTATTCTTATATTTGTTTCTTTAATTGCGCATTAATAATACTTATAATTTATTAATCCGTAAATAACACCTTCTCCAGGATAAAAATTGTGCTATATAATAATTATATCATTTTAATAAATTTATCTTTACATAAAACATTAAGTTACGCGGTTTCTAATAATATTTTAGTAACATGTGGCAGAAGTTTATATGGTATACTTGGCGCATAGTTATGCGACGAACGTTAACCTGGTCATATCTGACTCTCTCTTCAACTGCATTATAACAATCGTGCATACTCTACTCAACAGAGCTGCATTATCCTCTCGGGTGTCGCGGAATACACGAATAGCCTTCATATTTTAGTGACGGCGATTTTACCGTTAGGAACAATCAATATAAATGGCTCTCTTGGAGATCGTTTTGTCTCTTCCTATAGGAAGACATTTCTTACGTATCTTGTATCAATTTGTAGCGTTAGAATTTATTTATAAAAAATAAGAACATATGGCTACGGTGTGCATATAATTTACATTTTTTCTTACTGTATACATTTCCATCGAAAATGTTAAGCTCATTTTTCTTTTACAGTGCACGAAATCATACTTTAATGGTTCGTAATTATAATTAATTAACAATTCAATTGTTCGATTTAATATCCTTTAATGACCCATTTATTAAAATTAATTATTAACATAAAAACAAAATTTATTCACAATAAATGTATTCTATAAAGTATTAAATATTTACAAACGCAATTACGATTATTTTTCACAATTATTAATGATTCGTTATTTAATAACTCTCGACACTAAAAGGTTTAAAGCAATAAGCGTTTATCAGAATAGTTTTGTTTGCGATTCATTTATATTGATATACTTGACCAAGAATGCGAGCAATACAGTAAACATGAATTATTCTATTATGCAATAATTAAAAACGACGTTTATCTAACGATACTTGGAATTTTTTTTCTTAACATTTTCTAAGTGTAAATCAGAAATGTATTTTTCCATAAATTTTTTTCGTAATATATAAAACGACTCCACGGGAAATATGTAATGATATATTATAGTTAATTTATTAAAATTTTTTCGTGCCAACTAAAGAAAGGAATATTCAGCAGTTATTTTACAAATTGTGTTAATTGTTTTGTGAAAATAACTCGGCTGTGGAGCATGTAGCTTTGACGTGTGTTTATACGGCACACAGCGTTTACTGGGTCGCTAAGTCATCGCGTTGTCATACCTACGGCAGTACGGCTCGAACGAGCAGGTAAAGCGCGAACCGCCATGTATTTCGTGACACTACATTCTCTAGTCTCTATGAACAATTACGTTATTAGCAGCATCCGCGATTAATCAACGTTCGCAATTGATGACTGTGGTAACGTTTATTTCTCGAAGATATTTCGATATTGAATTTAATTAGTAGGTCGTTCGTTCATTTTCCGTTTGTGTGAAGTTCATCCCTCAAATAAAATTATAATGTGTAGCGATCTAATTTTTTACTTCACTCATTTCTTGCCAAATCGCGTGCGACATCGGGAGTGCCGTGTAATCATAATTAATTGTATTTTTCGGGAGTGCGTGACGAAAAAATTTAAATATTTTCCCAGGATTGAATGTTATACAAAATAATGCAAAAACCGGTAAGATTACTTTTTAAATATGCAATAAATATAGGCGAAAGAAAAATAGGATACATTTCACAGTGAGTACAGAGCACATATCTTAAATTAATACATTTAATAAAATTGCACTGATAATTATTAGGTGT